AATTGAGTTCACAATCACAGTGCATTTGTCTGAGATCACGGGCCGTGAAGTGATTATCTTTTTGGGTGTACTGTACCTACTCGTACGATACGGCTCGGTACGCACGACCTGCTCGTAAAATCTATCCTACAAGCATTCAAGATGCTTAAACGATTTATAAATAGGTGGTTAAACATTTTTTTTTAATATTCTAAGAAAATTCGTAAAAAACTCAAGTTCTTCGCAATTTGCCTGTTGGCTGCATGTTGTTTTGGTTGCTAAGCAACGTGTCATACGTTTGGCTTTGTGTGATTCATTAATTACTTGATTGCCAAATAAGTAATCGTTTATCAGGCGGTTGCATTTGATCCCTAAATCAATTATTATGTTTTCGGCTTACTCACGTAGTAATTTGACGAGGAACTCGACTAGTTTCAAGCCATGCTAGAGGCTCATATTCATGAGCAGCATTTCGCGACCCGGTCCCGGACCTGGGGTCGCGAATCAAATCAAATTACTACGTGAGTAAGCCGAAAACATAATAATTTATTTAGTATGTCTCACGAAAGTTACAATACAAAGATCCCAAAATCATAGAAAATTAAAATATAAAGTTTTCAGTAACAGCGTTAGGACCTTTATAACCAATTACATTTTCTTTCATTAAACTATACCTTCCTACTTCTGTGCTACTTCTTCCTTCACCACTATATAACATAGTCTTTGTACTTTACTGCCTTGTAAGGCACCAAAGCGTACACGTGTAGCAATTCCAGTTCGCAATTAGATATCCATGTTTGTTGTGCTTGGATACGCACGACCTGATACAAGAGAGCCGGCCTAGCCATCAGTCTAGACACCAATTATCTGACAAAAAAAAGGCTAGACTTGTAAGGAGAATTTTTTTTTTTAAGGGGGGAAAATCATAGAATGACTGCTCCCGCCTGGGTGAGGCGGAAGGGAGTGTCTGACTCTTACTGACTAAAAACCACCCCGTTCCTTCTCCTACACGTCGAGCCGGAGCCCCGGTTACCCGTTAGGTTCTCCGCGACTTGTAAGGAGAATGGATTGATATCTACCAATAAGGTACGCGTTTTTTATTATTAAACAAACTCGCTGCACGGTTGGTGCGGTGGCTGGGCAACCGGCTGCCGTGCAACGTGTCGCTGGTTCGATTCCTGCACGAAACAACACTTTATGTGATCCACAAATTGTTGTTTCGGGTCTGGGTATGATGTGTTTGTGAAATTGTATGTTTGTAAAAGCACCCACGACACAGGAGAAAATCCTAGTGTGGGGCAATGTTTTATAAAAAAATAAATCTATGTAATTGTTGCTTTTTTTGTAACAAGCTTTTTTAATCAAAACAAGATAAACGCACAACACGTTTCTTCAGCACCCATCTACTTAAAAACTCTTAGTTTTTTTTTGAGACAAACTGCCTAGCAACGCGAAAATCTTGAAGTATTCGTTGTAATCAAAATATCTCCCCTCCTTGCTAAAGTCTCCGTCCCAAATTAAAGATAATGAAGATCCTCTAACAATAATTTAGGAGCAGTAATTGCTTCTAGGTTAATACTACATCGTGCTCGGAATAATAAGGCAACACCATACCATAATATCATAATTCGTATCCGAGGCACTTCAACATCATTAGAATGCGAACCGAATTACATATAAGGCAGTTTCATTATAGCAAACGAATCCCACACGGAGAACGGAGCTATATTTAGAGGATTTTCCCAAATAATAAGGGCATAACATCGTATTTTAGGTATTATTTTCGCGTGGCAAGAAAACTCGGCTCATATCTTTTATTCTTGAAAGGGATGAGCTACGGAAATAGGCGCACTTCTATCTGAGTCTAGCAAACACTGGGACTGTGGGAGTGCGGTCCTCAATCTTGTCTTTGAAGGCATACGGGTGTACGACTCAAAAGAAGTTTTCTTGTACCATTGTAACTCGTGAGCATACATTTATACATTTTTCCGTGAATGTTGTTTAAGAAACGATCTAATTCTCGAATCCTTTTATACGCTACTTTAAAAACGTCTGAATGAATTTCTGTTAGTCTCTCTGACATATAATATCGAAACGAAATGTGCCAAATTATATTGTATTTAAACTGTCAAACACCAAGCGGTCACCGGTGACCGCAACCTATTGTTCTTTAATTGTGTCTATAAATACGGTACTCGACGAGTTAAGCCATGAAAACCTTATCAAAGGTTTTCGAACACGTTCTTAGCAAATTTAAAATGTACCGTATCAGACACAATGATATAAGATCGCACATAGCTTTATGTTTTAAAGTTGAAGTTCGCCTTTTTCTTTTTCATATCCATGTGATATATTGGTGAGAGTTTTCAGATAGTAGGGGACATCTTTTGTTTGTCCAAGTAGTTTCTGCGGCTGTTGGCGTGCTATGATAACGTCGACTCTAGAGATGTGCCGAATAAGTTCACGAAGATAACGTATTGTTGTCTCTTTATAGAGGTTGCCTTCATTGTGAGCATTTCTTTTAAACCACCTGTATATGCTCCATGTTGTTTGTATAGTTTCAATGCAATTAATGGTAATGGCTGCTAAGTGGACAAGTTAAAATAAATAACGTATTTTAAGAAATTACTAAAGTATATGATAGTTATGTTATGATAATCTATACAAATGAATTTCCGTTTGTTAGTCTCGCTAAAACTCGAGAACGGCTAAACCGATTTGACTAAGTTTGGTCTTGAAATATACGCGGAAGTGTTTAAAAGGTGAGAAATCAGTAGGGATTTTTTCGCCAGGCGGTACAATATTTGCCGTGTCAGCTAGTTTCAATTAGTAATATTGAACTTTGGACAGTGTCGGTATTCAATGAAAAAACTATGCACAAAAAATTAGGATATAAAAAGTTCACTAATAAGAAAAAAATGTCTTCATCTAGAAAATATTTATGTTTTCTGTCTCTAGGATGAAATGGGATGATGTAACCGCAATTATAAGAAACTGGAGGGTTGATCGATAATCCTCTCGGCTCTTATGTCATAGCCACGTCCATCAAATGAGGTCGCCCCCTTGGAGTATTATCGTGATTAAACCTGTTTTTTCCATAATTCTTTGTTCATCTATTTTTTCTAGCAGTTAGTAAGGAAATTATTGCAGTTAGCAAGAAAATTGCATTTCTGAGGGTATTGCTAGTAATAACAACTATATAATGATATATGACGTAGACATATTCTGTTGCTCTTTAAGAAAATTTACACGAGCACCCATGCATAGGATTTGCTATATATAGTAAAAGCAGTAAAAGTAACTTAAGTATTCTATAGTGTATATGGGTATTTCTTGTTTATATATTTTGGTCATTATTGTTATTTTAAGATTTGCTGCAATATCGCATTGGGTCTAGCCTGTAAGGATATTTGTAAGTTATGTGTAAATAAATAATGTAAGTCTATGGAACTCAAATCTAGTTACCAAATTCTCACTATAACTCATTTGGGTTGTGGAAAGGGATCACGAACGCAAAATTGAATATCATTGACACAAAACCCAAACAGATGGATAAGGAAAATCATTTTTCATAGACATACCGACAGAATGGCTACAATTTGGCATGAACATTATATCCAACGAAACTTCCGAGAACTCTCAACTAATTTCGGAAAACCGTCCATCATCAGAGATTAAACTCGTGTCACTGACAATGTTGATCCTCCAACTCGAATGGAATCAAATTGCAATTTCTGGAACGATTCCAAGTCTCGACCAATGAACCGGTAGTGTGTGGATAGCAGGGAACCACATGGGTATAAGTTATAGCAGGAATATAATGTGATACCAAAAATGCATTATGCTTAAAGTGTTTTTAGATTTATGTAATGCGTTTGCACAGCCTAACAATGGTGTCTATGCGTTAAGAATGAGATCCTGGATTACATTACTTATATATTAAATCATTACTATTTAAAAAGAAATATCTAACAGTACTAGAGCGGATATGAAAGAGACCGTCGATAGAGGTCGCCCTAAACGAATATATAGCGACCAGATTGGCGATATATTAAAGAAGGGCCAAATTAAAAGTACCATTAACCGACGGGCATGCATGAAAAGACTGACTGTTGACGAATCGAAAGAGGTTTTTAAGAATCGTAACAATTGGTATTCTATAGTCTCTGCCTACACCCATGGGAGACAAGCGTGAGGTTATGTATGTATGTATATTCTCTGATTATTATGATTAATAGCATGGAATGTAGATTAATGTTTGTGGTGAATGGCAATAGGTTGCCCAATCCACAATAAATCTAGCCAAAATGGGACCCGGTACACAGTCTTCCAGAACCAAACAGGTTTGTTTGTTATTATGTCATACAACAGACTTTGACGATAGGTCTAGAAATTATAGTGTAGCTATTTTCAGACACTATTCGGAAATTGAAATGTCTTTTACGTATTAGATGGACCCTCGTCATTTTGGACCTAGACCTGTCTTCTGGCAACCTTGAGTGTGAGACAGGTTTTATTATATTTATTGAATTTGTATTCTCTGACGGTTATTATTACGTTAGAGAGCATTAGTAGTATACCTTTTCCAAGGACAATTGGTCTAGTCTGAAAGCTTTGTTACTTATTATAAACTGTTTGTGACATTTAATTTGTACTTAGGTACAATTTTATTTATACGAAGTTTAAGAAGATTTGTGAGTCCTAAAAATGGCTTATATAGCAATACATTTTAACAGGTAGATTAATGACGATGATGACAAATAATGTTTGAGATTTCTTATAATTTTTTGTTCTACACTATTGGTTGTTTGTCCTCCATGAGCTGGAGACAAGATAAAGTTTAGATTAGACACATTATCTTCAGTCCAATTAGATGAGATTCAACATCTTAAGATCAAAAACAAAGCACAGTTCAAAAATGAACTCATTTGGAAAAGCCAACGAAAAAGTGCAAAGGCTACAGTGGAATGCAATAAAGATATAGAAGAGTATTAAATTAAAATACTTTCAGCACTACTTACCGACTACTATCGGCCGAGTTTCCTCACCGTACGATCATAAACACGTACTGATGATGTTCACACCTAGAACAAAGAATAAGTCTCATTACTAATGTAAAGTGGTCCTTGAGGTTATTTCATCATACTTCATAGCGTGATGCTGGCCTAGTATCACGCGATCAGCAACTTTGTTTAAACTGAGAAGGATGTTCAAGGATTTTGTGTCGTTATATTGATCGATTGGTAATATATTTTTTCCTTAGAGATACGGCGGAAAAATCATTAAATTACTTCTCCAGCCTGGGTGAGGCGGGAGGGAATGTCAGACTCTTACTGACTAAAAACCACCACGTTCCTACCCTACCCTTCGAGCCGGAGCCCCGGCAACCCGTTAAGTCCTCCGCGGCTCCGTATCGGCATCAGCCCTATTGGGCCCCATCCGTGGTGGTCTGATGATGCTACTGACTGTTCTGCAAGATGGTAAGGCAAATAACTGGTGTTTTCTGTTGCGGCAGTAGTTATCAGGAGCAAAAATATAAAGACACTCATATGAACTTGTAACAGTACTATGTTAAATAATAGCTTCTTCATCGATATATACTGGACTAGCAAACCCGGCGAACTTCGTTTCGGCACCAGATGGCTTCGTTTTATGTAACATTCTTTGCTATATACCTCACGGAACCCGAGACCTTTCCAACGAATGCAAAACCGTGGAAATCGGTTCGTGCGTTCTGGAGTTATAGCGTCAGGAAGGAAAACCCGATTTATTTATATATAGTAGATATATAAAATTAAGATGAGTATTTAAATCTGCGAGTCTTTTGCCGGAGTACTGAAACATTACTCAATTTTAATCGTGCTTAAATATCGTGCCATCTCTGTCATTTTACAAAGAGTTTGTAGTGACATAACTATACTTAGGCGCGACTTAAAATTGAGTAACGTAACGTCAGATTTGGACCTACAAAACTGAAAACTGTTATACATTTCTATCCAACCTTTCAATAGAGAACAGTCGTAATTTTATACAACTGAGTTTATTCCTAAGAGGTCAACGACTGAACAATAACCTTGTATTGTATACTACAAGTACATGTTTACTTGAATAACGTGTTTACATTCTGAATAACGAATATTAAATGAATAACTTAATTAGCAGTTATGTGAATAAATATGAAACTTGACGTGTCCGTAATCGGTTTTTAGAGGGTGGCAAATCTTTATGACGTAATCCTAATGAAATATTTGAAGTTGACGGTTGATTTATTATGGTTTAGATGATATTGCGTGAGCTTCTATTTAAGTAATTATAATTTTAATTGGCATTAAGGCAGGTCGTGATAGGTAATGTAATCGTTGAAGTTTATTGTGTTAAAGATACGCACAACTAATTGATTCAAAACTTTCGCGTATTTTTTATTAGACAGACGTTTTTAGATGAATCTATTTTACTAAAGTATAGTAACAAATTTGAACGATCACACATAACATCATGCCTTTTATCCCCGAAGGAGTAGGCCGAGTTGCACATTACGGCACTTAAATCTACTGTACAATGTAACACCTACTATGTTATGAGTCCCACGTAATAGGGAGTGAGCCTAGTGCCATTCATCGGGCACATTTCCAGACTCCGTGAAACTACTGAGATTTTTTTACAAATTCAGTAATAAGTTTATCCGACCTGGGAATCTGCCCGATCCGGGCATCTAACTCAAGAGCCCAGCAGTAGCACTGGTGACCATTCGGCCAACGAGGCAGTAAATTTTTTTACTACACAGACTTTATTATAATAATTTTTCTCCTGAAGTATAGTAACGAATTTGGACGATCATCATCATCATCATCATATGACTTCAACTGCTGGACATAGGCTTCCTCCAATGACTTCCAGATAGGCTGCTTGGAAGCGACCAACATTTGGACACTTGGGCGATATTCTTATTGAAAGAAATAAATAAAACACCATAAATTACTTGGTCATGCTCGACTGTTGGACTACTCGACCAAAAAGACAATTGAAACTCATAGGCTTACATTTTCTTATTGTTACAAAATATTTTTACAATACTTGATCGCTTCACCCCTGATTGGGCATCGAAGCCCCGTCCTTGAGCGAGACATAAGACAAATTCAATTATTTATCAGTTCAGCGGCAACAGACAGACGGAAACTAAATAATTGGATGTAGCAACTGCTAACTAAATTACTTGTGACAGATTTGAAAATTTTATTACTTAATAGTTAATGGATTTCTTTTGTTGTTTTAACATTTTAATTTTATTGTATTGTTTATACGTAGTGAGGTAATGATTCTTTTATTGATTGTTTCACTGAGCGTAGAGTTTATTGTATTTTGTAGAACTTTCATTATTTATTTATTTTATTCATCGTCCTATTGCAGACCTCCCCTCCTTCCTATCCTCTCCTCTCTGAGCACATCTTTCTGGGACCAATCCTTGGATTAATTAAACTTTCATTTATAGATTTAAAATGAGAATCTTGTTTAGTGATATATTTATCTTAGATTTCACAGGTGCTTTTAGGAACTTACAGTAGCATAACAGCATAACATCACGCCTTTTTATCCCCGAAGGGGTAGGCAGAGGTGCACATTTCGGCACCTAATGCCACTGTACAATGTAACACCCACTTTTCACTATATTATGTTACGAGTCCCATGTAATAGGGGGTGAGCCTATTGCCATATACCGGGCACGTTTTTCCAGACTCCGTGCTACTACTGAGATTTTAACTACTTACAGTAAAAAGCAAAAATACATACATAATACATAACTTCACGCTTGTCTCCCATGGGGGTAGGCAGAGACTAGGGAACGCCAATTGCTACGATTCCTACATACCTCTTTCGCTTCATCAACAGTCTCTTTACAAGTCATTCATAAATCAAATCATATACACACAGCAACAAATAAAACACAAAAGCTAAAATTAAATATAACAAAAAAGTAAAACCAATGTGGTATTGTAAGCTACAAATAATAGAACAAAATAAGCAAAGGATAACAAAAAGTACGAAACAACAACGGTTTTAATACAAACCGGATCGATTTCTCTGGGGAGCCGGGACTTGTGGTCGATTTACAAACAACGTCCACTGTACTGAATAAAGGACAAAGTAGGCACTGTATACCTAAGGCTAGGATAGGATACGGTCAGATTCTATACTCATAGATTCAATAGAAGTTAAACAAAACAAGAATATACCCAAGGCGTTTTTTCTTATAAGATTTGTTCTGCCTCGTTGGCCGAGTGATCGCAATTGCGACTGCCGGGCAAGGGGTCTCGGGTTCGATTCCCGGGTTTGCCGGACCCGGGAATTACAGGGTTAGAAGTATTACTGGGTTTTTAAAATCTCAGTAGTAGCACGGAGTCTGAAAATGTGCCCGGTATATTAGGCTCACCCCCTATTATATGGGACTCATAACATAAATGGTGAAAAGCGGATGTTACATTGTACAGTGGCATTAAGTGCCGAAATGAGCACCTCTGCCTATCCCTTCGGGAATAAAAAGGCGTGATGTTATGTTGTTATGATTTGTCCGTTTTTAAGCTGTGTAATTGGCAAACAAATTCACTGCCTAGTCTTATAAAAACAAGCGTTTTTTTATATACGTACACAAAATAGTAGTTTTGCTTTTAATATTTTAAATACGAACACTATTTGTAACCGTCGAGATATTAGCATAATTTCGACGTATTTTAAACATACCAACTCAATATTTTAAAGAAATATTGACTTTACAATGATTGCTTTAAACACAACACACATTTACAAGCGACTTTACGGTCAAACACCTAGCCATACATATATTATTTCATAATATGCTATTGTACATATAACGACAATAAAACTTATCTTCTCGATCTTTCCAAACTGTAAAAGAAGGGAAAAAATGACTTGAGTGATAGCAGGATTTGAGTTAACTTTTTGGACTGTTATTATCTTTAGTTTTCGGTATGTGTCGAAATATTGAAGTCTACCTACCTGAACCTCAAATAAGACGAGAGCACTTACAAAGTGAAATGTATGTATAAGTTGGTCTCAATTTCTTCGGAACAGTGGTCTTTCTATTCGCGTGATTTACCTATAAAGCCTTTTTCGATTTCTTTCTTCATTCATGTTTATTATGTACTGGCAGATATATAATTACAATCTGTTAAAGAAATGCATGATTCATCCGTGTGTTTACAATGATCTCATATAAAGACTAACTGCCAACCAACACGTCACTACCAATAAAGGCGTAGTCTAATTCATTAGGCTGTATTGGATTTCGCTAACGTCTGCTATTTCAATAAAATAGATAAAACACATTCCTTGCTCTGTTTCTAAGCAGAAGATTGTCTTAAACTGTCAAACACCAAGCGGTCACCGGTGACCGCGACCTATTGTTCTTTAATTGTGTCTATAAAACCGGTACTCGACGAGTTAAAAGGCTGATATACTTTTAATAACCGGACGACTGCAAATGATTAGGCAGAAGTTCAAATAATTTTATTTTCTCTAGTTATTATTTTTATTTCGATTCCTTTTATGAGATAGATATAGAGGGCAAATAAGCAGACAAATCACCTGGTGGTAAGCGAACTAAAAGCACTTTAACTTCTATGGATTAAGGACCTTTTTAAAACATTCTTAACTGGTGTACTTTTATGATCAGATGAAAGGAAGAAAGAAAATGATAGAAAGGAAGAAATCTCTTAAACGAAATTTACATCGCCCTTGCACAATCCATCATAACATACTGTATACCGATATGGGGCGGTGCAGCAAAAACCAAATTTATAGAGGTGGAACGAGGACAACGAGCACTCATTAAAATTATGTATTTTAAAAGTAGGAGGCACCCTACTGAAAGTATTTTTCAGATAAGTGGTTTACTCTCTGTTAGGAAATTGTACATCACACAACTGATTTTAAAAAAACACAAAACTGTTTTTTATGACAGTAAAATATTATCAAAGAGACGTAAAGATATGATTGCACAAGTTCCACAAACTAAAACTAAACTTGCTGCTATACAATACAATAAACGCTCTGCACAAATATATAATAA